TGTGAATGGGGGTTATAATCCCCTTAACTGTGTTCACTCCCCATCCATGGGGAAAAAATTCAGGATTAAATAGTGATAAAAGAGAAACTTGAAAAGAAAACAGAACAGTATATCTGCAAACAATTGGTTTTGCGCTTTCGGGCTCAATCGACCAAGGATTACATTTGAGCACTCACATGCACACGAATTCAACCACCGATGAGAGACTAACCAAATCAGTTGATTTTGACCGTGGAGGATAATGCAACACATGGAATTCTCAACATATGATGCACCAAACTTTCTACCAACTATTTCTGGGTCATTTTATGGTTCGACTGTTTTAACTCACCAAATTTTAAACCAGTCAAATCATAGCAACACAAAAAGCTTTACTTTGATAAATAAACTATTACCTTCTCCCACTGTTTCACCGAGTTCAGTTACGACCTGTCAGTCACGCCCATCACTGTATTTATATTATGCACGGCCTATTCAAAGTCCAAATGTATGATGACACGTGAGAGGATTGAGTGTTCGCTTTATTTTTATTTGTTGGAAGTGAACAAAGTACACACTTGATTGCATTGACATTTGTGATCCTTTGTAAAATTAAACCCATGTTTCACATAGCGAAATCACACGGTGTTGTAGGTTTCCGTTTTCCCCCGGGATGCATAGTCAAAATGAATCTAGAGGAACTGTTTCAGGTGTCGATCAAATTTTTGAACTTTATCGGGGTGTCTCTAAAATGCAGGGAAATGAGACCCTATCAAAGGGCAGAGAGAGCATCAACCCCCACCAATGCATGGTTGCGCGTTTCCACAAGTGTCTCGTTACAGCTTGTGAATGACACGTGGTCGTTGTGGGTCCCGCTTTCAGTAAACCTTAGCTCCATCAGCGATTACAATCCGTTCTCTGATGTGTAAGGCTGGGATAAATAAAATATAAGTTTCTTTATTAATATGCACACTATATGGTGACAGGGAGAGATTGGGAAATCCAGTAACTGACTGCTGGTCATATGTTCGAGTTCTGGATTTGGTGAAGCCCAGCTCGTAAAATGTTCACGCAACACCAGTGAAAATAGACAAATATAATGGCTTGATTTATCAAAGCACATGGAAGTGTAGGGCAATCGATAATAATATATAATGATTTATGTTGCGTTCGATCTCCAAGTTCATCTGTGATTAAGCCATCCTTCTTGATTTGCCGGAAGGAGGTAATGTTCAAGAGATGTTGACTTATTCTCATTTTTCCAATGGGAAGACGGTAAAGTAACTTTCTCACAGTCTATTACAAGGACAATTTTGATACCTCTCTGAGGAAATCAATAGAGCTAGCTGTTAATTTGATACATACACACCTATAAGTTTTAGCGGCAGAGGGAGTTACCAGGTCAAATTTAGGGTGCTAAACAAAGTCTAGGCATGAACACAAGAGAGGTTTCCATCGGTTTACAGCAGTATCTTCGGCAGTTGTTCTGCACTCTATGTTGACAACCAGCCTGTTTCCCCAGTAAACTCTCTACAATACCTCGGTGTCACTATCCGCCAAGATCTCAACTGGACCTCACATTTAATTTCTACTTTTGTCAAGATTCCATGGTTGTATTTCTTCATTTCCCGCTTGCGTTCTTTGAACGTCCCAGTGTATTTAATCACTCGATTTGTATATTCTTGTGTTGTTACTCATTTTCTCTGCTGCTCCCTAATTTTATTTGCCTGTCTTACAGCTAAAGATTACATAATTATATGCCGGATTATTAAAATTATTTCTCGCACAAGCGGTATTCCTTATTTGCAGTTGCTTAACTTTATCGCTCATAAACATTTTACCTCTTGCGATAACTTCTGTAACAATATTCTATCAGACACCACTCACCCATTACACACAGAACTTAAACAATGCATATCCGCTTCTGTAATTAGATGTCGTTATAAACTGGTGTATTCTCGTACCACTGCCTATCGTTTGTCCGTCATCCCCTATATTTCGAGATTCCTAGCTCAAAAGTCATACGTTAGAGAAAACTTCTTGAATTTCCTACGCAATTGATACTCATTTTTAAACCTTTACTCCACATTCCCTTGAATTTGCGATGCGTTTTTCATTTTTCATGACTGTATGCGACATTCAGTGTTCCTGGAGTGCAAGAAGCTGAGGATCCATGCATTAGGATGAATAAAGCGATGTTTGACTTGATCTTACTTGAACCTTGAATAAGCCAAATTAACCACCGGTATCGACTAGTCTCTCTGTTTTCTCTCGATTGGTACTGTAGTATGCAATCAATAACTTTCCCTTAATTACTGAGTTTGGTGTTCTGTGTGGAAGGCACTTGAGCTCAATAGAGTAACCTTTTGCCGAAGGCATTTGATGCATTTCTAAACCTTTCAGCGGTGCAACACACATATTCCAATTGATCGATTCAATATGAGTTGTTATACAGTGATAGGTGTTCAATAACCGTTTTTGGAGTTTGTTTATCATCCTGTGCTCCTTTCAGTTGCGTAATACGTTCTGGCCGATAACGGATTGCACATGTGACTGGAACCGATTGGTCAATTCATTACCCCTAAATGGGAGGCTAATCCCGATCTCCGATCCGTAGACCCTAAAGTAAGAAAAAGCATTTGTGTTTTCAATTTCCTGTGCCCATCGGCCGACTCAAGCAAAGAAGACACCGTACAGTC